ATAACATAAAAAAATATTCTTCGGCCGAAAGACAAAGTAGCTATGTCTGCTTTCCCTATCTGTATCTTAAGTACAGCCTGTAAATATTTATATATATTAAAAGTTATATTTTGTACAAATCAGTGGATCCCAGATGAATTCTACACTTAATTTTTCCAAATTTTTTACATAGCTCGATCGATCCATCTGGCAACGCCATATTCTGCCATACGATTTAAAAAACAATTTAAAGTGGTTTTTAATTATTTTTATTTCACATCAACTAACAAATTGAATATTTGTACGCACTCTCCATGTGTATAATTTTATGTGTGTTGATCTTCCCGTGGGATCTCGATTATTGAACACCGTTTGCCCGATGTGAATGATTTCAACGGTTTGGGTTTTCTGCTTAAGTTCTATGTCTCAACAATAATTTAGTAACCAGTGAATAATTGTGTGTAACTGTCTTTTTTGGTTGTGTGTAGATCAATATATAATTTCAAAACAATTACAGCGACTACATTAAAGATATTCCAAGCTGTTGAAGTTTTTTTGTTTTATAAATAATGATTAGATCATGGTTTAACATTAATAATAATGTCTAATTACGAAGCATAGAGACAGCAAACGGTTTTGGTAAGTTAATTCTGATTCATTTGTGCGCCAGACACAAATTCCGAAAGTAAAGGGTTGACGAACACGTGCACCGCCTCCTCCTTTTTGGATCTTCCTCGTCCAGCTACCGTCTCCAAGATCCAGATCTCGTGCGATGGGGCTGGTGTGGTTGGAATTTTGAAGTGGCCTACGCTTACTGCGGCTTCCTGAAGGACTTGCCGGCGAACTTGACGCCAGCGCCGATCTCCTCCTCAATGCGCAGGATCTGGTTGTACTTGGCCAGACGCTCCGAGCGGCAGGGAGCTCCGGTCTTGATCTGGCCGGTGGACAGACCGACGACCAGATCGCCGATGAACGAGTCCTCGGTCTCGCCGGAACGGTGGGAAACCATGGTGCCCCAGCCGTTCTTCTTGGCCAGCAGATGGGCGGCAATGGACTCGGTGACGGTGCCGATCTGGTTCACCTTCAGCAGCAGGCAGTTGCAGGCCTTCTTCTCCACAGCGGTGGCAATGCGCTTGGGGTTGGTCACGGTCAGATCGTCACCCACGATCTGGATGGTGGTGGAGCCGGTCAGGTTGGTCCACGCCTCCCAGTGATCCTGGTCGAAGGGATCCTCAATCGAGACAATGGGGAAGTCCTTGATGAACTCCTGGTACAGGTTGGCCAACTTATCGGCCGGCAGCCACTGCGCCTTGTCGCTCTTCTCGTTCTTGAAGTCCAGATCGTACTGGCCATCCTTGTAGAACTCGGAAGCAGCCACATCCATGCCGATCTCGATCTTGCCGGTGTATCCGGCCTTGGCGATGGCATCGGTGATCAGGCAGAGGGCCTCCTTGTTGGACTGGATGTTGGGGGCAAAGCCACCCTCATCGCCCACGGCGGTGGCATCCAGACCGAACTTGGCCTTGATGACGTTCTTCAGATGGTGGTACACCTCGGAGCCCATCTTCATGGCCTCGGTGAAGGTGGTGGCGCCGGTGGGCAGGATCATGAACTCCTGCATGGCCAGCTTGTTGCCGGCATGGCTGCCTCCGTTGATCACATTGAAGGCGGGCACGGGCAGGATGATCTCCTTGTTGCCAGCCAGATCGGCAATGTGTTTGTACAGGGGAACGCTCTTCTTGGCAGCTCCGGCCTTGGCGACGGCCAGGGAAACACCCAGGATGGCGTTGGCTCCGAACTTGCTCTTGTTCTCGGTGCCGTCCAGCTTGAGCATGAAGTTGTCAATGGCGGCCTGATCGACCACATCCAGATTGGCCTTGATCAGCTCGGGTCCCAGGGTGTCGTTGACATGGCCCACAGCCTTCAGCACCGACTTGCCATGGTAGTTGGCCTTGTCGTTGTCGCGCAGCTCCAGAGCCTCGTGGACTCCGGTGGAGGCACCCGAGGGCACGGCGGCACGGAAAAGTCCCAGGTCGGTGGTCAGGTCGACCTCCACGGTGGGGTTGCCACGGGAGTCGTAGATCTGACGGGCCTTGATCGCTTTGATGGTCATTTCGTTGCTGGCACTGCAAAAACCAAAGTCCACAAGGAAAGCGAATTAGTGTCGATTATTTATTATTTTAATCTAGGCATGGATTTAAAAAACAAGCTAACCGCAGATAAGGGCATTCAAAATTGGCACTGGATGAACTCCAGAATATTCCCGAGATCCCTGCCATTTTTTTATTTAATGACTACTTAATAGTGTATTAAGTTTTTCTTTATTTATTGTATTAAGACTACTTTGTTAAGAAATTTAAGAAGGGAACTTCGGTAAACTTTGTTAAAATAATCATGAAATAATCCAACAAATTTTGAAATATTGGTTTGAATTAAAAATGTAAATAAAATATATTTATTTGAACCTAAAACTATATTCATATATTTAATGGTATAAATTGTTTGGTTTTAGTTAAATTTGTATTAGTTTCATACTTAAGAAGTAGAAGAACTGCGATAAACTGTATAATCAAAAATTTAGATTTCAATCTGAAAATGTTTAAAAATATTAAAAATTGCATTGTTTTCAAATGGTGGGAAAAAATGACTTTGAATAACTGTTTAATAAAAAGTATGACATTTTTTATTGTTAATAAACTATTCAATAATTATTCGGTAAGAAAGTCGATTAATAAACAATCAATTACTTTACACACAAGATACTTTTTTTTAGATATCCGCTAAACAATATCCAATAGTTGGATATTAGTACAGGTAAATTGTGCACAAATTTTAAAAAATAATGAAATGCCTACGGAAAATAAGCCATAAATTGTTTATTTTTCCACAAAGTATTGTTAATAAATTAGATTAAGATAGCAGCAATATGTACGCCAAGTGGTGTAACAAAATGTATTCCCGACTTTTGTGTGACTTTCTCCATGGAATTTTCTCGCAAAGTCCCACCTCTCTTTTCTATATTTAATTTGTCTTCAGATTTCAATTAAATATTTCTAAAATTATTTAAAGTCACTGACACGCGCGGCATTTTCCGCAAACGAAAATAAAACCGCTTTTCCGTCGTCTCTGTGGGAGAGTTTTTCAGTTTTCTCTCGGCGAACAACCGAATGACCTCTAAGCTGCTTTTAAAGGTCAAACCCAAAGTGAGGCAAATAGCAAAGCCGGAATACGTGGAAATGTTGCAAAAAAACGAAAGTATTTTGTTTATTGCGATATGACAATTACCTGTCAATTGGCATTATTTGATTTGTGCAATTAATTCGATTGGAAATGTACGAAAACAAAATGGCCCCACTTGAAAATTTGCACACACAATTTGTTAGATAATCGCAAAGAAAGTGGACGTATTTAATTGTTTGATTTTTAAGGCTTTCAATGGGGCATACTATAATATAATTCTCAGATTAAAATTAATAAAATTTTTTTAAGCTGGACCCTCGCACACACTCAATGCACACTTATACATACCAAGTACTTTTACTGAACTGCACAAATTTAAATCCAGATGAGAGCTGGCTGGCTGCTGATTTGCTTCTGAGGGCGACTGAAATCGCTGAGAAATCGCTTGCCGTTCGCGACGACAGAATTTTGGGGAGAGCCCGGAGCGTCAGAATTTGCGCCATTGTGTGGAACTTGAGGAGCGGCTGGGATGGCTTAGAGCTGCAAATAATATCGATTAATTCTTTTTTTTAAATAAAAAATATATTTTTCATTTTTTAAATTATCAAAAAGAAATTGTATAAAAATATATAAAAGAAGAATTTGAAAATTGTTAAATATAAACATTGACTTTCAATAATTCGACTGAACGAGATATTTGTTCAAACGTATTAAATTGTATCTTTTAAAATGTTTTAGCTAACTATATAGACAAGGAAACAGGTTAGATCTTAGCACTAGATTTAAAAGGTTTAAATTCAAGTACGTTTATAAGTCGATTTATTTTATTTTCTTTTACATCTTTTATAAGATATAAAGATTGCTGATGTTTGTTGGCTAAAGTACTTGTAATATATTAAAAATGTAAATTCAAAAAATTAAATTTCATCGATGTTTGTCTAAAAAAACCCACCTCTAGGGAGAGAGGGAAAGAGAGCCACTTACTTTTACTCTCTATTATATGTATGCGTTTCCAGGTGCTCGCCGGCTTTGATTGTGATTGTGGGGGTGCGTTTTCCCTTAGTTGTTGTTGTTCTTATTGGAATAATTCCTATTTTTTGGGGAAAAATTGACCTTCGCACAAGGTTAGAGACATTGGCTTCCACACGCAGCCGTGGATCGCATGACTATCTAAAAGAGAGCCAGAAATAATGTCAAAGTTAAACATTAATTAAAGCGTAAACAATAAAGTGACAGGAAAAGAGGAATACTGAAATCCATGTAAAAACATCTTCCAGCGGTTTCTGGACGCTCAGGTCATTCAAAGTCACATACTTTTTGAGATTTAAGCTTTTTTAGATGCCATAAATTAGAGAACATTAATGGCATGGTTTTAATAAAACGAACGATTGTGTTTATAGCAGAACAGCTGATGGGGCTATAATTGTACATATGTTAGTTAGCATTGCCTCCCACTCACTAATAAAACTTTTAAGATTCAAAAAAAAAAAAACGCTGTAGAATATAGAATCAATATTTAAAGATTCATATTCAAAAATATAGTTTTTCCTTTTTTAAAAAGGAATGGAAAAATTTACAAAATCTAAATAATTTTAAATAATTTCTTTTGAACCCTTTATTTTGATTTTTAACCGAATATTCCTTATAAAAGTAGTTAAATGTTTTTTAAATGATTTTAAAGTTCATATACCCAGGAAATTGAACGCTATATACTTAAAAAATGTTAAATTAGTTTATACTAATTCAAATGTTAAGTTAACAGAAGCAGACCAACCGATGGTTTAACATAGATAAAATCAAACTGTTAGGACCAAGCTGCTAAAAACAGGGCTACCAAACGACAGTGCTGGCTAACGTTCCAACTTCCCATATGTTTTGAACGAGCACACGCGGAATTTTTGTTTGGATTTTAGTTTCATTAACTTCGGAAAAGAAGCCCCCGAAATGACGACGACCAGCACAATAGTGATGCCCGGAGAGCGGATTACGGCCATTGAGGAGTTGGCTAAGAGCAAGCGGGTGATTTTGGGACCAGGACTGCGCCGACAGGACGAAACGGTGGTGGCCAGCAAGGCGGGACCTCTGCGCCACAAGGAACCTAGTACTTTTTGGGTGGACAACTATCAGAGGCGATACATTCCCGCCCGTGGAGATCAAGTCCTGGGAATAGTGCGTTCCAAGGCGGGTGATTTATACCGCGTTGACATCGGCGCAGCAGATACGGCATCCATTTCTTATCTAGCCTTCGAAGCGGCCACCAAAAAGAATCGACCGGACTTGAATCCCGGGGATCTGATCTACGCAAGGGTCCTCAATGCCAGTGCTGATATAGAACCAGAGCTGGTGTGCGTCAACTCCGTGGGCAAACGTGGCAAACTGGGAGTCCTGGCCGAGGGATTCTTTTTTAAGTGCAGCCTGAATCTGGGCAGGATGCTCCTTAGGGAAAACTGCCCCGTCCTCGCCGCTCTGACCCGGGAATTGCCCTACGAGATCGCCGTGGGAGTCAACGGAAGAATCTGGCTGAAGGCCCATTCCCTGAGAGAAACCATCGCCCTGGCCAATGCCATTGTGGCTCTGGAGCAGTCGGGCTATGCGGAAATCGACAAGATCTGCGACAACCTGGGCGACTTCCTGCAGGCTTAGGATTAGTTCTTAGTTTACTTACATTTTATATTAAAAGAAACGTAAAGCTAAAATGTTTCAGTTTAGTTTTCATGCGACTGTTGGCGCAAAGGTGGAGTGTTGGTAGACTTATTTCGTTTACGTAAAGGAAACTATCAGAGATGAGCTGATAAAAGAGCTTTTAGTCATTGTGGAATCGGAAATACATATTCTATGTGATACCTATTACTATTTGAGGATGTGTTGCCCCTTATATTATGCCTAAACTCAGGATACTATAACTAGAAAACGTTAAAAATGTGAAAGAAAAAATTAACTAAAACTTGTTGTAAGCACAATAAGGAAATTAAAAAAAAATATTAGTAAAAATATTTTAAAATATAATTTTTTTTGTAGATGAAACTGAAACTGTTCAAGACAACAACAGATTACAATAATCTATCATTTCAATCATAACTTAATTGCAGATTTAAAGCAGTGGAATACATTATAATTCAAGAAGTAGAGTAGTGATATTATTGGGATTTTAAGCTCCCAAGTAGGTGATAATAACCTCGTCCACAGTCACAGCGCCATCTCCGATGCCCACCAACAGCTGATCGATCGGACCCACTTTGCAGTGATTTTTCTGATAGGCCAACACGAAAACCAGCTTTCAGTGTCTTCCGTTGCGGCAGAGGACAAAGGTTTCTTCGACCCACCAGCGCCACCCAAATCACTCGAGATGACCTTCCTGGAGTTTCTGCTGCTCTTGCTGGTGCTGTACTACGTGGGCTACGTGCTCCTCTGGATCCTGCTCGACTGCAATGTGGCCCTGTGGTACAAATCCCGCTTCGGAGTCTCTTTGTCGTCGATGCGCGGACAGGTGGTTTGGATAACAGGTGCCTCGAGTGGCATTGGCCGGGCCCTGGCAAACAGCTTGGCCAAACATGGAGTGAAACTGGTGCTAAGTGCCCGCAGGGCGGAGCAATTGGAGCAGGTCAAAGAGGAATGTCTAGCTGCGGCCAGGGGACTCCTGGCCACCAAGGATGTTCTGGTCATCCCGATGGATATGCTTGATGTAGATGAGCATAAAGTACACTTAAACACGGTGCTTAATCACTTTCACCGACTCGATATCCTGGTCAACAACGCAGGCAGATCGCAGCGAGCCAGTTGGACGGAAATAGAGATCAAGGTGGATCGGGAACTGTTCGAACTGGATGTCTTCTCCGTCGTCCATCTCAGCCGACTGGTGGTTCGCTATTTCGTGGAACAGAACGGTGGAAGAGGTCACATTGCGGCCACGTCCAGTATAGCCGGCTTCAGTCCGGTTCCATTCTCAGCCACCTATTGTGCCGCCAAGCACGCCTTGAATGCCTACTTGCTTTCCCTGAAAGTGGAGATGCGAAAGCTGGACATATCAATCTTTGCCCCGGGACCCATCGCCACCGACTTCCTGCAGGAGGCCTTTACAGGATCGCAGGGCGGAAAAGTGGGCCTGAGTACGGCCAATCAAAAACGCATGACTGCCCAGAGATGTGGCGATCTCTTCGCCGTGGCCTTGGCCAATAAGATGGATCTCACCTGGTGTGGTCTGTTTCCAGTCAACGTGTTGGCCTACTGCGCCAGGAATCCCACGTTGACCAAGATCCTGGCTCAGTTCATGACCGAGAAGACGCTCAACAAGATTCGCGAGGGCAAGCTGTGAGATCTATCGTAAGACGCCTCAACCCCTGCCTCCTCTTCCTCCCATCGGTTCTCAGACAACTTTTATACAACACAATGCTTAACTATATCAAGTTTATAAACATTTACACAAGATAAATCTGAGTGTAGAAATATGTACTCAAGATAAAGCTGAGTGTGTGTTTGAATTGCAATAATCTGGGCAGGCACAGTGGTCGCTAAAAAGTTTTCTTGATGCGATTGAAAATTGTCGTAAATATCTGAATATTAATTTTGACAAGCTGTTTTTGAGAGAATAAGCTGAGCTATTGGGGATTAAACAAACGATTTAATTTAGTTTAATCTAGTTTTCTAAACTATTTAAATGTCAATATATCTGAAGTCATTGTCAAGCTATTATTAACCTGGAATTTATCGTTATTAGAATTGGTTAAACATCCTCTTCCCCATCTACATTTGTTTGATATTTAACCAGAATGCAATTTACTTTTCTTTGTCTTATATTTATCTACGAAATTAAATCTAATCTTTTGCTAACGCTGCCTTTACATGAGCGGGTAACTTTACCCTTTTCCGTTTCGCCTTGGTTATTGTGTTCTGCTCCACTCCCTTGAGTGGCTGTTTGACCTTCTCCTTTTTGCTCTTTTTGCACGACAACGGATTGGGGTTTTTGGGTCCTTTGTGTTTCTTGGGATTTGGAGCAGTTTCGGCTGGCTTTAGTCCCTGTTTCTCCTTCATGTAGTCGATTTTCTCGGCCTGTTTGCCCAGCATTAAGTTCTTGGCGCGGCGTTGCACCCACTTTTTGGAGGCTTTAGAGGGGGCTTCTAAAACGGGCGTGGCTTTGTGCAGATATAGTAGACAACGTCCGGGAATCTTGCGAAGACTCTCCTGCAGCAGACGATCCTGCGAGGCCACTATATAGCGATTGTCTCTAGTCTGAAAGGGGAAGTTGAGAACTTTTGAGAACTAGTTTTACATTAATTTTAACTCCTTAAGAATGATCTGAAATAGTATTTTCTATATACTCATGAGTGCCCGTATAAGCACCATATTTTCTGACTGAATTGAGTTACATTTGAACATTATTTGATAGTTTCATTTTAGATCCTCTTTGCAAAATGGAAAGACAAATGGTCTTAGACTGAATTAAGACTGTAGTTATTTTAAGGATAATGATAATTCCATTTTTACCATTGTTTTAATGCATTCTGCAGCAGCCACTGGTTTTCCCTCGTGTCCGCATTTGTGGACATGGAATCGCTTGACAATGGATGTGGCTCCGGTCAGCGGACCTCCCAAGGATTCCGCCTCCAGGATAACACACTGGGTAGTCAGTAGCTTAACTCCACACTGAAAGTACTTCCTTATCTGCTCATCTATGCCAATTTTTTGCTAAAAATTAAACAATTCTTTGAAATTGTACTACTTTGGTTATGGCAAAACCCACCTGTAGAGCGGCCTGGCAAAAAGTGGCATCAATAAGCACCTGGTAGGGTTCCCGGTAGTCGAAATTGGAGGCAAAAAACACCAACGTTTTGTGGGACTTCTTAAATCGAGATATTTTCATAATTATTTGGGATATTTACTATTTCTGAATGAAAACAAAATCAGCGTGCATAAGGCAGTGCTGCATAGCGCCAAAACTCAGCTGTTTTGAGTTAACATCTCTACAGCGTCTAACAGCACTCTTAAGATAACAGCGTGCTTTTATTTTAATTCAAATTATTTAACATTTGGCGCCCAGTCAGAGAATGCATTTTCAACCCTCTTACAAACCAAATCACCCCCTACTCTCTCTTTTGCGGCTATTAAGCGTTTTGTTTTCATTTCCTTTTGTATAGTATGATGTTCTTCCGCTGCAGTTGCAGGCGCATCAAGTAGCGCTTAGGTAAAACTTATATTTAATGCCTGTTGTGCCTACTGAAAAGTGTAATTTTGTACTGGAAGTGTATAAGTTAATGTGAAAGTCATTAGTAACATCAGTCAGTGGAGCAAAGCCCAAGTTTTAGTGATTAAAGTAATTAACTAGGAAAATATATATATTTCTGTGTGCGAGGACTTTTGAACTGTTTGATACGTATTGCCCTATTTATAAGAATACCGGTACATATTGCGATGTATATATACAATAGTGCCGCTTACGATTTCAATATTTCGGTTTTCTTTCTTTTGTCTGTTTTTGTTTACGGCGCATATAAAGTTTTCCCCACACCCTCTGCGGTTTTTCTATTTTTCCCAGTGCCCCTCCCTACCCACTAACCCTCATTTGTTTTCCTCTTTGATCATTTTCTTCTGGGTTTTTTCAATCTGCTCAATTGGCATTCAATTGATGGATTTTTTTGCTAATCATGTTGATTGGTTTTACCCGAGAGGTTAAGCTTAAGTTTTTTTTTATATTTTTTAAGCTTACACTTATAAAAACAAAAAAAAAGAGGTGAAAAGATTTAATGTAATATTTGCAAAATTAATTATAAAATGTAAAAAATGAAAATTGCTTAAAATCATAAAACTTTATTTTAATACATATTTGAAAATCATGTAATGAACCTATCAAAACAAATATATTAAATAGTTATCTTTCATACTTTGTATTTAAAATTCGAATTACTATTTGCAAATCACACATTTTTTCTCGCCCTTATTTTTCCGTACACGATTATGAATATTGGTCAAGTTTGCCTATAATGCCATGTCGATAAAGCCGCCAGTTGCAGCAGCTGTGTGATCCAGAATTGTTTTTCCTCGCTTTTCCAGCATTAATCTCTGAAGGTTGGGCCATTGACAGCTGTCGTCGACTGAAGGTTGTGAGCTGTGGGTGCAACCACCTCGGTGATCTGGATGGATCATCATCCATCTCTACCAGTCCCTACTTTACAGTTTATTCCTGCAGTTTATTCAACCTGCCGGGGGTTAAAGACAATGAAATGACCAAAAGCATAGAGCAATTCATATGCAAATCGGTTGCGTACTCATATTCCTTTCAGAACACACCTTTCGCTATAGGAAAAATTGGATTTATTATGAAGTTCTGTCATGTCCCGCGTGTCTGGCATTTTGATATTACTCCTCTCCTTCTTTCGCCGTTTCCGGTGGATTTTTCGGCAGTTTTTGTTCGCCTTGTTTTGCGTGGTTGGAAAGAAAGTGACGCATTATAATTAACCCCAGAAGGGGGAGCTAGTTGGAGGAAGAGAAATAGGGGGGTTGTGGAAAGAACACAACACAATTCGCATTGTGCTGGGTTAAATATAGTTACTGAAGTTCCGAGTAATTTGGTTTGGGGGAAGCACCAATCAGAAATTGATTTGTCGTGATAAATGTTGTGAGAGGTTTATCACTCTTTACCGAACTTTTTTTTAACTTAACTATTGAAATTATGATACCAATTAAAGTCATACATCAATAAAGAAGACAACACAAATAAAGGGTAAAGTTAAAGTCTGAAAAAATACTTTTAAACTGAGAAAAGCTCATTTTTAGTTACCAAACTTTTTATAACGTAACGCATTATGCGTGATATATCATAAAACTTTATTTTATTGGGAGTTATGTATAGGATCTCTCTTAATTTTAAAAAATACGATCATTACCGCCTTTTGATCCACGGTTCGTTTAATTCTGATCTCATAACATTTTTGGAGCACCCATCTCCAAGTAGTGAACTACTTATATAACTTTGATAATTCATTCAACTGTGGTCTACGTTACCATCGACACGATCATCGTAGAATCCGCAATCCAACGAGATGGGAGTGGAAGCAGACCAAATTGCCAAGTAGCCGTCGCACTTCATAAACTTATTCATTCATTGATCCATTCACATTTGTCTAACGTCACGCCAATCCGGATCCCTCCTGTCCCCCATTTGTTGCAGTGTATGCATGTCAATCAGGCTGAGAAACGACATCCAGACTTTTGTCTCCGATTCGTTTCCCCTTCGATCCCCCAGAACCTTAATTAGTTGCCAAATGGTGTTTGCTGTGCATTTGGTACGTAATCCGATTTGGTTCTGTCTATATATCTTTGAATACATATGTATATATCAATATATATAAATATTTATCGTGGGTATGGGTGTATGACTCTCATTAGCAAAACATTTGGCGTCCAAAGTGGACTTTTAATAATGCGATTTTATTTTCTTGCGATTTCTGGCCCGGCATAAAGAAAGACTTCTCATGTTCGTTTGTTTATTATTGTCTGCCTTTCACAATTTTAAGATTAAATTTCAAATTTTGCTATCAGCTTGGAATATTTCTTGAGATGAAAAAAAGCGTCGCCCTGAATATTTTCTAGTATGCGAAAAATAGATGATCTTGAACCTAGATTGAACCCTTGTTTAAAATGGTTTTTACCGGGAGATTCGGTACGTTTGTCACATGCTACCGCATCGTGTCGGTTTGAGGCCTTTGGGATTTATATAAATTTATTAAGAGTTTTGAATATAGAAAGCTAGAGTACACCCAAAAGTTTACGGCGCGAATGGGACACGCGATGCTTAATCAGTTCGCGGGACATATAGCGCGACTCATCATTATCATCAGTGTCATCATCTTCAACGTGATCTGCTTACGTAGTTTGAAATCTGTCAACAAACCGTAATTTGTTTTTAAGCTTATTCAGTTTTTTATATATTTAATAAACTTGCGTTTGTGTTTCACAGCACAGAGAATAACTAAAGCTCAAAATTTATTCAAAAGTGCGGGACTTTATTATTACTCAGTTCGAATTAACATGTTTCTAGTTAAATCCTAACTCATAAACCAAAAATGTGTAGGTGTCTAATGAGTAGTTTATAAACCATGCGACAAATACTTATAAATGATTAAGAACTTGAGACCTATAGTTTCTAAACAACATCTTTAATTCGATTAAAATATTGTTTGTAAACAATTATTATGTGAAATACTTTAAAATTTGTTTATACTGATAAGGAAGCTATAAACCACTGAACATAGTAAAGAACTAATTTGTTTTAAATACAAAAATAATTGAATAACTGATAACGTTGTAGTCTGTTGGGCATTAAAATTTTTCACTAGTCAGATATCGACACATTAAATTTCATGTCCATATGTAAACATAATCATAATTTCCCACCAGGGAAAAAAACGTGACGTTGTCTGGCGAATTGCGAGTTACGAATAAAATTTAAATTAATCATACGTGTGTCAAGGGAATCCCCTTAAATATATAAATATGAAGGGTGTTGACTTAGTATACATCATTACTAAATTCTTACCTGGCTCAAAGTTCGTGGGAGTTGCAGCAAATGTTTAGGACATAGTTGGTAGCCTAATCACTGGATGCACAAACAACACTTTATAAACAACATTATCAACGGATATTGTTGGTGACAAAACCCCTCATAATTGGGTGCTGATAAGCAGGGCAAATAACTGCATTTTCAGGGCTTCGGATCGCTATCTTATGTATCTTTATCTCAGGGAAATTAATTACTCCCTGTGTGAAGATATGACAACTGCGCCATTTATTTGAGAACCTAACTAAATCACCTCTATTTGTGGCTATAAAAGTTTCATATTTTTTTCCACTTGCAGAAAACTAAATAACCAATTAACGTTTATATGACCCATTTAACGATTTTTCATTTCTAATTGCTTGCTTCCAACCCTTAGAGAAAAACAAAGTAGTTACAACAAGAAAGGAAAGCTAACTTCGGGCGGAGCCGAAGTTGATATACCCTTGCAGAATATTTTATAAATTATATTGTCCAAAATTATTCATATGATGTATTCTTAATACTCATAAAATGTCCCAACTTCCTAACTTTAAAAACACCAAAGTTATGGCATTTCCAATCGTTCAGTTATATGGCAGCTATAGGATATAGTCGGCCGATCCTTATGAAATTTGATAGGTCGGATTGATTGGCCAAAAATAAAGCCCATAGAAAATCCCAACTTCCTAACTTTAAAAACACCAAAGTTATGGCTTTTCCGATCAATCAGTTATATGGCGGCTATAGGATATAGTCGTCCGATCCTTATGAAATTTGGTAGGTCGGATTGATTAGCCAAAAATAAAACCCATAGAAAATCCCAACTTCCTAACTTTAAAAACACCAAAGTTATGGCTTTTCCGATCGTTCAGTTATATGGCAGCTATATAATATAGTGGCCCGATCCGGCTCGTTCCGACTTATATACTACCTGCAATAGAAATACAACTTTTGGGAAAGTTTCAAGCAGATAGCTTTAAAACTGAGGGACTAGTTTGCGTAGAAACGGACGGACAGACGGACAGACGGACAGACGGACAGACGGACAGACGGACAGACGGACAGACGGACGGACAGACGGACGGACAGACGGACAGACGGACATGGCTAGATCGACTCTCCTGGTGATGCTGATCAAGAATATATATACTTTATAGGGTCGGAAATGTCTCCTTCACTGCGTTGCAAACTTTTGACTGAAATTATAATACCCTCTGCAAGGGTATAAAAATGAAGGGTAATTAGAGGTTTAAAGGTAGGGCTAAGGGTTATATGGTAGTTTGAGCTTTGAATAATTCCTACTGAATTTAAAGGTTGCTGCGAATTACAATTAAAGGGATTGCTCAGGCCTGTGTGATCAGAAAGCTAAATAGGCTTTTGGGGAGCAAATGCACTTAGTATTCCAATCGAAATATTAGGGTGAGGACGAAGTTTATTAAAATCTATGTATTTTTATTGGACAGTCGATTCCATAAAATCTGTTGAAGAACATTAATGCTTGTTTATTCTTTGATTACAGGTAATAAAAAAATCGATTTTAACAATAATTGGCTAACAATAAATACCCTAATCTTTGTACGTAATAAGATGTGCATAATAAATATCTACAATTAAAGCATTTTCTATGTCTACTTTTTATACAAGTAATAAAGCCAATGGTATTTAATCGCTTAAATCAATGCCTAATCTCGTAGATAAAGAATAAACCCATTTAAAGTACTTACACAGCAAACTTATAGAGCAAGCTATAGATCTAGCTTATTTAGAAACCAATTTACTCGGCTAATCCTAGCCCAATTAAGTATTTCCAGCTCAGCATTCTCCCTTAAATCACACAAACCCTGTTCAAAGCCAGCCCTGCACAAACCTATAATTATAAAGTCAATACCACAAATGTATTATACCAAAATGATTTATTAATAATTGATGCCAGTTCCCGTCAATTGCTCCGTAAAACCCGAATAAAACCGACCGTGATAGGAAAATGGCAAAAATACCATAGAAACCGCAAATTTCCACTTTTTGTTAAAGCCCACATATTAATCAATGCACACCGCAAAATGATTCACAGTAAAAGAAAAATTGTAGCGGGTTTAAAAAGCAAGCTACGTCACAGGGAAAACTTGACTTTGACTTGTGCAAACCACGCAACGATCGTTAGGCGAAAAAAACCAGAAAGAAATCGGGAAATTTACCCAAGAGAGCTGTATCTCTTCCAGTACGTAATGCTTAACGGGACCGTAATGGGGGTCAGGGTTGGTACTTTAAAATTACCATTAAACATATGCAAACCACTTGTGGGTGGATACGTAATTCGACTATTTGACACCCGGTTTTTTGGCTCACAGAAAAATGAGCCAGTAAAAAGGATATTATTTTAGTAGGATTTCATTAAAAGTGCAGATCTAAAAAGGAGGATCTATTGATAGTAGCTTAAGAGATCATGGCATCTGTTATGCTAAAAATAACATGAAAGAAGAATTTTTACAATGATTAGGAATTAAATAATTAAATAATATTTTTAAGGGAGAAGAAATGACGAAAGCAGAATGTTGTATCTACCCATTTCTCGGACTACAATACAATTTTTTTTTTAAGGTACTTCTGCCCCTCAGTTAGAATTTTCAAAGATGCCGATAGCATATACCCAAGATCTCCGTGGATTACCGGGTGTTTGGAGTCCGGAGTAATCACGTATCGCGATGCAAAAACGTAACGAAGCCGGCCAGAGAGAGAGAAAGAAAGAGAGAAGAGAGTCTCCAGGGGAAAGAGAGATTGGGAGCGATCAACAGCTGGTACGGTGGAGCAGAGCAGCTGAGTCGGGTTCGGACTGTGGGTCCCCCATATAAAGGCCTCGTGGAGAGCGCTTTGCTGTTTAGTTGATCGGCAGCGAGCGTAGCGAACGCACGTGCAGCGGATTATATATATATATATATATATATAGTCGAGAATCGGGGGAAAATCGAGACAGGCAAGACAGAAAATCGAAGCACATTATGTATAACACACGCAATTGAAATTAATTTACGCGTCGCTACCCATCTGCATAAGTTCAATGGAAGACGAAGCAAAAGCAAAGCCCACAAGCCGAGGAGAAAAGTGTGAAGAAAGTGCAACAAAATCGAATTAAGAAATCAAGAAATCAAACCGAAGAAGTGCGCCTAACAACAATATAATAAAACAATCATCGCGTGTTCGTCCGCACAAATGTTAATCAAAGGTTAATTAAAGAGACTGCAATTATTCCGAGTTGCAGTTGGATTGACTTTACCAAAAAACTCTTTGTGATTATGTGTATTCCATTCATAAATTACATTCTGTGACAAGTTTTACGTCCCGATTCACAAGAATAACCGAAAATATTTGTAAATTTTATAACCGAGGAAAGAAATAAACGGAGCTCAAAATAATCCAAATCCGAGGAAAGAACAGCTGAAGAACTTGCAGCGAACAGGTTCGTTAGCACCGCTGATTATTACCTTTTGACCCACTAAAAGAGTAAAGAAAGAAAGCTTTCGGAAGAGTGGAGTGCAGGAGCGAGTTGAATCACCAGAAGAATTGTGTAGACAAAGAACAGAGGAATACTAATTGCCTCTTCGCCACTGGAAAAAATAGAGATATAAATAAAAATCTAAAATTATTGAAAATTGAATTAAGGAATACATATTTTCTTGTGGCTAACAAAGAATTCAATTTGCTTTTAAGAATCGTTTAACTCTTAATATCTTATGAACTTAAATTACAATTTATTAAGGTCTACATTTGAACATGTTTTCCATGTCCTACTTCCATAAACTTTTAACTTTCAACAAATTTAAATAAAAAATCCTTCAAAAATAAATTTGTTTGATTTAAAAACAATTACTAACTATACCTTTAATAGAAAGGAAAATGAAAAATACATAGCAGAAAAACCAAATAAGTTAGCTTTTGTGGGAAAATAATAAATTAAAAAATAATTTAAGTTAAATCGGGTTCTAAAGTGGTTATAATTCGTTCACTTCAACAAGTAGTTTTCAGAGTTCGCCTAATTGGTTCCGCATTGTTTATTAGATAATAAATATTTTTTAATTTGTAAAAAAAATTTTACATTTGTACTTATAATAAAGATGCAAGAGAAACCAGAATAATTATATAAAAACAGGATGGTAAGCTAATAACGACCATTAGGTAAACTAATAACGACCATTAGGTAAACTAATGCAAATGGGAACTATTTGAAAAAATGAATAATTCAAATTTCTTTATGGTGTATAATTTTTTAGAACTTGAAATTGTTAATATTCTTAGTGTATGGCTAACAGCTGCACAATTTTGTTTCCCTTCATAGACGAAAAGCATTCCCGTTCAGACTCTATGTTTGTCTTTTCGATTCGATTCCCTTCTCTATCGCCGCAGTCGGAACTTGAAACTGGAAAATGTAGGCCATCGCCTGAGAATCGACTTAATCGGTGGGTTTTCTTTATCGTGCGACCCACTCCCACTTGATTATGCGATCCTACCACTTACAGCATTTCTAGTTATATCATTCGTGATTCGGCTAACTTATTCATGACTTGTGCATTGAATTTTAAGTCGTTGCATTTGGAGATGCGGTGATTGTGCTATGCTAATTTATTCACTTCTGTATCTAATCTAGCATGTGTTTCTAATTTGTTTGGAACACAGCTGGAGAAATTTGTATCGATCGGGAGGCTGATTTATATCTCAGTTAAAGTTTATTATGAAAGCTTTTCCCCTAAAATTCAGATTCAATCATCTTAAATTTGCTCAATACCTGAGCAAAACAATATAAAAGATGGCATGAACAAATGAAAGCAAATGGCCAACAAATGCACTCGTAAATTATAAGCAAACCAAATATAGCGGTCATTGGCTGACCGACTCTCGAAACGAGAAAAAAAACAGACGCTCGAAAAAGGCAAAGGCAAATATTGGAAATCAAAACAAACTTATTATTGTGCCGGCTACTGCGACGTTCTTGTGCATATTTGTTTGGCAGAACAGAATCGCAGTATGGCTTTCTGAGATAAACCCTGATCCATTAACATTATTTAGCTTGCCACGTGCTGGCCTTGGCGATGTCACTTTTCTTTATCGCAAGGCGAATAGTGGTTCCAGGGGTCGTATACGTAATGCGCGGCTTAGTTTTTTTTTTTTTTAGTTTTTTATCGTGGCTGTGCAGTACCCAAACCGAAACGATCAATTGCCTCATTCTATTGTAGTTCTCTTATACTTTTATTTTTCTGCTGAAGTTGTTCATGATCTCTCAGTTTCGTGACTTTAATTGAAATGGCGAGCGTTTTTCGATTTTTGTTCGTATTTTACATATGTGTTTGCCATACGAGCCGGCAAATCAGCAATTTGCATTGTCTGAGTTATGAACAGACCGAAATGTCTAAAGGTCCCAACGACCTTTGCGCCGAGAGCTTTCCAAATTAAAATGAAAACCCGGATTCCCATAGTTTCGTTTCGGTGTTTCTGAACCACTTATAAACGTATGTCACGATCTTTGTAGCTTAAAGTGCATAAACAATTATTGTTTGAGTCATTAAAGTAAGCTGAATTGAAGTTTTTGAGATATAAGACATTTTTATATAAGTATTATCTTAACTTAAACCGCAAAGACCATTTTTACATTGAACCCTGAGTCAAACAAACAATAATCAAAAGAAATAATGTGAATTATATTTATAAAAATATTTATATTCACAATTTTTTACAATCTAAGCAAAAACACAAGTGAAAATAAAGTATTAAAAAGTTTACAATTATGAATGACCGCAGCTCAGTGCCTACTACAATTTTTCCACCAGCCAAAAACGAATCGAATTTAATATGCATAGACATACCCAGTCTAAAAATGTGTACATATATAATTATGTCATTCGCCCAATATCATAAATTAGTCGACCATATGCTGAACTCAATTGTCTGTTCGACCGGCTCCCAATCAATGAAAATTGTCAACTCAATGAAACTGCACTAGAAATGCACTCAAGATAAAACCAGTTGAACTTCTATTTCGCACCAAGATCAGATTGCACCTCTAGACATGATCCGCTTTACTTTTGGCTAATTTAAATCTGCAAGAAATATTGAAAATGATTTTGCAGTTTTTATACCCCGTTCTTTTTGTAAAACGGGTTTCTTATGGTTTCGATGGTTTGTTTGGCTTGTCATTCAGTTAACAAGCCAGACACAAACTCTTTACATCAAAGTCAATATCAGTTAACTACTCGAAACTTGTTGGCCAAACATAAACAAAAAATCCATGTATAGACAACTTGACTAAAAAAAGAGCCGCCCAAAGTTAATGTTGTAAACGGAAAAACGTATTGGAAGTCTGACCGAATTGTAAGAACTTAGTAAAGCTAATTTGCATGTTGGCAAATATGTGTGAAACCCCATAGCCCAGATACTTATTCTTGAGTTGAAGGTTGAAGGCATTAAGATAGTTATTATTACCTTAAACATTTACCAACATTTATAGATCTATTAATATCAAAACAAGGTTCTAGGCGCTTCCTCCGGGTTTATTTGTTTATATAACTAATTGACAACCTTAAATCGGGCAGAAAAATACTGACCTAAGTCAAGGGTACATAAAATTAGCAAACATTAGCTAACTGGAGAATAATCAACTATTAATTAATTCTAATTTAATTTTAACTAAGACTTTAATATTTGTTGTTAGCACCGTGATTTTATTTGATTTGTTTTGAATTTGATTTCTTTTGTGAATAGTTATTTTTGCATAATGTCGAGTCATTGAAAAAAAGAGAAATTTCAGGAAAGATGACAAACAGAACTTTGTTACATGCCTTTATTTTTGGAACCCGATTGATAAATATTCCCGATAGAAAAGCCTAGGCGTTATTCAAAGTTTAATGGACTCTACAAGAAATTCATCTGATATAAGTAATCTTCAACATATTGTCTATCCATCAGCCTGACAGACTTTACTTAATGAAGCGCACTCATCTTTCAAATATGCTTTTCACATTACAAAAACTTTCTTTGTTCGAATCAGGCTTAAACAAAAGCCCAGAAAACAAAACAAATATATGTATGAGATATATAGAGAATATTTAATGACTCATTTGTCAATTTTTGCGATAGGACTCTACTATGTAAGTACTTTGTATGAGTGTCCGGCTAAGTTGTGCAAACAAAGTGTATACGCCCCCAAAAAATTAATTTGCCTGCAACAAATTTGTTAGTTAGATATCAACAATAAATGAAGTTAACGCCCCAACGAGCAAACAGGTCGTTAGTTCTAGAGCTACTATTATTATTCTCTACATGTGGGGGAAATTGTTGAGAGGCCCTTAATTATGAATGCACAATCTGATTACAGATATATGAAATAATTACGGGGAAAATTTTCAAATTTACAAACATATACGCAGATATTAGGCCAGTAAGAGCTGTGATTAAACATATCGAGACATCAGCAGCAAATAAAATAATACAAAATACAAGCCTCCGCCTTTGCTTTTAAAATAGGATGACTTTTAAACACGTACTTATTATATTTAAACAATTCTGCGATGATAAGCCTAATCTTCCTTGTTTCTTGAACTTTTTTTCGTTTTGCAATGCATTTAAAAATATGTATTTCTCCGTCTTTATTTTCAGCCTTTTTTCCTGACTAGAAAACATAGGAATTACCTGAAAATATGACACTCTTGCCAGATATCAAGGCTTCAGATGCCGCCTGCTGTGTTGGTGGGGAAAACAGTGATGCGAGTAGTAGCTCCGGTGGCAGCCACAAAGGTCATCATGGCAATCACGACAGTGGCTGCCTGGGCATCAATTGTTGCACCACAGCAGCCAGCTCGGAGTTGTCCATCGATGAGACCTCGTCGACCTCGTCCAGAGGATCGGGAGCAGACTTGGCCAGCAAGGTAACCAATGATCTGAATGGATTCCAGAAGCCAAACTATCACCAGGCAGTGGCGCATGCCAATTTCGATCACTGCGATCCGGTGGACATTGAGTTCTCCGATGTGCGATACACAGTGCGGAAGTTCTCCTTTCCGGAAAGGAAATTCGGTAGGTTTTAAAAATAAATTATGCTACTAATTATATTTAATAACATCTTAATTTCTATATCTTCCAACAGTCACCAAGGAAATCCTCCATGGTCTCAATGGCAGCTTTCGCTCTGGCGAACTGACTGCCATAATGGGTCCTTCGGGTGCCGGCAAAAGTACGCTTTTGAATGTGATGTCCGGTTTTTGGTGAGTGGCCCACTGTTTAACTTGAAATATCACAGACTGCACAGATTTGCATTTAATTTATGGTTATATCGCTCAATATTTAAGCTGGTTTCATGCAGTTTAATTACACATTGAACATCGGGTATGCATATAAACTGCCATCGTTCAATCAATCAACACATTGTTCAAGTGACGGCAAAACAGCTGCATTGGCTTACTATATAATTGAATTTGTATATAGAGGGCAAAAGATTAAAGGGTTTTCAAGTGGTCATTATTTATGGAATTTTTTTCTTAATTCTAAATTGGCTGTTTATACAATAAATACCCCTTTTAAGAAGAGATTGTTAAAGCTTAAATGCACTTACGAATATGAAGATGGAAGGATGCGATCTTTAAGTAATATGATATAAATGCTGAAATATGAATGCTAAAATATAAATCACAATCGTATGATTTAATTGACGAATAGAAGCAAGTGCTTGTTTGATTTGCATTCCATCCCGGACATAATCTCCATCACTTCCTCCCGCAGTTCAAGTTCTCGCCAGTTGCATAATTAGGACTTCAGACTAAGATCGTTTCTAATCTCTGAGTCATTGGCCGCCAATTGACGTATCTTGAAGGAAATCGATGTTTAATCGCATCGTTTTTTTGATGGCCAACTGACAGTTATTACAGCATTTTCTTTTGTATATAAACATTTTAGTAATCAAATAGTTTTTATATACGCCGCACGTGTAGGGTTAAATCTTTTCAATCATGTTTGTGAAATAAAACTTGCAAATTGCTGCTTCTGTGTAATTATCATGATTAAAGTAATGGCAATATGTAGGCCCCAAGCGGTACACGAGTTTCCATTGCTAAACGTTATCGGTCACTAAACTATGAACTTGAAAGTCGGGTACGTATACATAGTTCGGTTCACTTGTCCGCTTCAGACGTTTATACGGCTTTTTTCCCAGTCCCAGTCTCAGTCTCGGTATATGCTGAGCTCGTGTACATTATAATAATTATTTTAATTGCTGTGCTTGCTTATTATCTGTTGAGATTTCTTCGACACATTTTCACTCTTTATTTCCCTCCTTTTTTTCGCATTCTCTACAGTTCCACTGGAGTGTCGGGCAATATACGGGTAAATGGAAAGCCAATGGCTCCCAGTTCGGAGAGATTCCGCCAAATGTTGTGCTACATCCATCAGGATGATCTGCTGCGACCTCAGTTATTGGTGGGGGAGATAATGCTACTCGCAGCCCACCTGAAGTTGGGCTTCAAGGTCACCAAAGCCTACAAAATGGATCTGGTAAGATATCATTTCTAATTAAAATTATAATATAAATTCTAATAAAAAAATCAAAGGGATTGTATTTTATTTAAAACAATACACTTTTAAAAGCATTCAAAGAAATGCTTTGTTAAGCATTAACTTTGACTAGAAAAAACAATTAAATCTCTAGAAAACAAACTTTGGTATTGGAATTTCCTTTTTCTTATAAAAATATATTTTTAAGATCTGTTGACAAACATTTTTCCCCACAATCTTATCTAAAACATTTTGCTATCTTCTCTAGATCAAACAGATCCTATCGCTTTTGGGTCTGGACCATCGCTACAATGTGCCGACGGGGAAGCTTTCGGGGGGACAGAAGAAGCGACTTGCGATTGCCCTGGAGCTGATAAGTAATCCTCCCGTACTATATCTGGATGAGCCGACGACGTGAGTGACACTATATGAACACACTTATGTAATTAGAGTAGCCATGATAATGATCGTTGTTATTATTGCGATGATGATGATGATGATGAGGAAACTTTGCCTAGCGGAAATTCAGCGAAAAGTAATAGCAATCCCATGGCTGACCCACAAGTCAAGTTTGTCAACGTCTTAATGGCTTTAGGTCTTATCAATTGTCTATATATTTTTTATATATTCCGTTTAATAGTTTTGATTTGATTTGATTGGTGGTGTTCAATAAGCAGAAAGCGGTTTTTTATTTAAATTTTTGTATATTGATTATTCTTCTAATTACTGTATTATCTTGCAAATAATCCAGCAATTAATTGAATTGTTCATTAGTCGGGAATTACTTTGATAGGAATGGATGGGAGAACGAAAAGATTGAGTTTAATCGGTTTTAAACGGCAATTAAGGGCTTGTTATTTATAGCTTACATCGTCTGGGTGGAGATAAAAAATCTTTTTTCACCCAGAATGACAAGGTAAAACCTTTGAAAGCAATATGAATAAGCACCCCATAAACCTTAAATGAAGCTCATGACTTGATATTTTAAACAAAGGAAATTAGCAATACAACAAATATAACGAGATCAACTGAGAATGACTGAGAATTACTGAGTTCTATTTACACATCACTCAGATATCATTTTAATTCTTGAAACTATAACTATTTTTAGGTAAATTCGACTATTAACATGTTTGTTTTTAGCCCTAGAGCTTAGTTTGTATCACTTGAATGACATTTAGTAAGCTCAGACTCTCATTATCAAAAACATTGTAAATGCACTTTTCAGTAATTAAACGACCTGTAAAGTTAAATTTTAGGTATATACACGATTCAAAAAAATCTTTAGGCGTTAATAACACTTAAATAAACTCGATTGTTGACCCTGCCTAATAAATTGTATACTGTAAGTCAATCAAATTGTACAAAGCCGCTTGACTTGCATCGGTTAATGGGTTTTGGGAACAAACACGTTTGTTACTTTCATTTCATTTGTTTAATTTCAAGTTCAAGCCGCAATCTCACCTACCATTAAAGTTTGAGATTGCCCAATTGCTTAATGTTCTGTTTTGTCATTCCTACCTTTTTCTCATTATTTAATGGGGGTTTTTGTTTCGTGAGCTTTCCAAAGGTTAGGTCAGCAGCACTTAAACCATGTTGAGTCATTCTGAAAGTTTAACTCATTTTTTGTGGGTCGTTCTTGTCTGGTATTTCAGGGGTTTGGACAGCTCATCGTGTAGTTCTTGTGTGGCTTTGCTGAAGAAGCTGGCATCGCAGGGTCATACGATAGTCTGCACTATCCACCAGCCGAGTGCCCTGATCTTCGAGATGTTCGACAAGCTGTACACGGTGGTGGATGGTCACTGCATGTACCAGGGACCTGTGAGGGAACTGGTTCCCTTCCTGGCCGATCAGCAGCTCGTCTGTCCCAGCTACCACAATCCAGCCGACTACCGTAAGTGCAGATTAAATATTATTTATATATATATATCTTCTATATCTATGGTTCAACTGTTGAATTTAAGTGCTGGAAGTGGCCGTGGGCGAGCATCAACGTGATCTGAATGAACTAATCCATGCGGCCAATAAAAAGTATTACGAGGATGTCGATCGCTATCGCTATATGAACAGTGCCGATATGTCACGCCTCGTGGCAACAATTAAAGGTGAGTTTTGATCTGTTGCCATGCCACAGGTAATATAGTTCCCTAGATCTTTACTTTAAGTTTTAAATGAAACTTTATGGGAATATTTTTATAGCCCAAAAGCAGATAGTAATCTTTATTTGGCCACACTTTTTACTGTCTCATTAAAGTTTTGGTTGTTAAAGTTTAGGTGTTTTGGTTAATTTCTAAGTGCAGTTTTTTGATTACTTGAGTGATTTAAACTAGATACTACAAATGTGTATAAACAAATGTTTTCATTTTGTCAAGCTACCCTTTAATAGAAATACTATTTGCATATTGAATTAACACTTTCACAACAAATACAGAAAGCACATAACTACAGGGAAAGAGCCAATTACTCCCAGCGAAATAGTGCAGAAATTTCCCTCTATTAGACCAGTCTACTACTATTATATACTTTCTCTAACCTCCGCTTCCGCTGCTCCCCGAAATTGCAGACAAGATTGGCGGCAAGACGCTGGGAAAATCCAGTCCAGAGTTGCCGGGAGTTGCGCTGGCGCAATTCTCCAGCTTCGATTATGTGAAAGCTTCGCCGCAGGAACTGGCGCTGGAGGAGATCAAGGCACTCAGTGGTCCCACGGAGATTGTGGACCAGGATCGCCTGGAGAAACACCATCCACAGCAGCCACTTGCCAATGCCAAGGAGCTTGCCAAGCCATCCAGTGCAGTCAGATCGGCCTCCTTCCTCATGCAATATCTTCTCCTGATGCAGCGCATCCTGATCTGTGCCAAACGAAGCTATGTAAGTAAACCGAAAAATATAATAAGAAAATAAAAGATATATTTCATTTATTGATTTAAAAAAAAATTATAAATGAAAGTGAGCACATAAATACTCAATTTAAATAAGGCATTCACCTTTATTTAAATTTCAATTTTCAAAGTCCCGAGCTTAAGTTATTCCTAAAATATTTAATTAATTCAATGCAAATGGTAGTCAATTTTTTCATATTACCCAAAAATTAAACTTATAACAGCTTTACTCAAATTATTTGAATGAATTAAATGTGTAAAAATTTGTTTTATAAGCCGGGTTTAGGGCAGTGGCGTTAAACGTTGATGGGCTGTCAAGTTGATTTGGTAATTGGTGCGGCGTCCTCCAAAAAACTGAATCCAGTTACTGCTGATCTCGTTTTCTGCGCAATTCTTAATGGCTAAATAACCGCTTTTTATTTTTTTTTCATTTTTTTGTGAGTAATTACGGCTGAGCTTTGTTGCCTTAGTGTACATTAAGTAGTATAACTTTTTCTGGGAGGTTGGCCACTTTGCCACGCTTTCGGATTTTGCAAAAAAAAATAAGATCAAAAGAAAATGGGACTTATGCATGCTTTTAATGGTGATATAAGATCATGCATGTGGTGGATAATAGGGCTCTTATTAAAATTTCAAATTAATATGGCTGAAGGTTTCCAAAGCTTTATGCTTAAACATATAATCATTATAAAAAGTGTTATGTAGGGCATAAGTAAGGTTTTTAATTGTGAGTTGCGTCTTTATAAGTTATTCATGAACAGTGTTTTTTGGTTGCTCTGAACTTGTCCCATTACAAAACTAAACACAATTGTTTGAATGAATTTTTCACAACTGGGTAAGATTTCCCCAGGCAATTACTAAGTATTTTAGCTTAGCAAATATTATTTTAACTGTGTTATTTTATAATTGACACGTTTTCCAGCTCGTTCCAAATATTTATTTACCTGTTGGCACCACCAGCATGAAAATGACTCAGGGCAAAGGCTCAAATATTTACCATAATAAATACATAAATAAATAAATTACTTTGGAATCAGAAATGCCACTGAGATTGATGGCTGACGTTTATCATTTGAATGTGCACAATTAGCACTTGGCATATGTTTGAAATAAGGAATTGAACAATTTGTGAGACGACCAATTAGCAAGTTAAGTCATCTTTATGTGCCTGCACAAGATTAATGTGGATCTGCATATGAGACTGCACCCGGGTACTAGATCTTTTAGCACCTCTGCGTCGATATTGACTTGTCAGTGTCACACAAACTGGCCAAACAGCGCCATCTAGAATCTCGGACCCACTCGAGCGGGTCGTAACTCAAAAAGTAATGCCACCGCTCAGCCTTCACATAGATTTGGTTTTAGAGTGTTCTAATGACCAACATCCACGACTGCACGAGCGATTGTTTGCCTATTGCCGCCACTCGAAGGTACAGTTGAGGTCAAAATAATAGCCACACAATATTTAAGCCTTGAAATTATTACATAGAAATAGCACAATTTAATATATGTTTACCAATATTTCAATCTAAGCCAATATGTTCAACTTTCTTCTCTTTTAGTTAAGGATAGGCTATCGTTTACTTTAAGTTAGATAAAAATCGACTATTTACTGACATTTGTCAGTTTATCGACATGACCACTATTAACAACACATTGAGAAACCGGCTCTTAAAATGTCTTTTAAAGTGAAACCATTTATCTTTGTGTTACTATGAAGATAAAGACTTTTAACAGGGACATTAAAAAGCATGATATATTTAAAGCGGATAACTAAAACTAAAGAAACACTCTTAAAGGCTTTACAAAGTTTCCAAACAAATTAGTTATTTTAATACACGTTAGACAAATAAAAAATCAAATTGTAAATACGATAAGGGTGGGGAAGTCAGCTTACTTTAGTTGAAATCAATTATCAAAGTTACCACAGGTGTTTGTCATATATCTAAATGCCTCGTATCTCTTTCAGTTTCTTCTGCTGGCCCGCATCTTTTCGCACATTTTCATTGGAGTCGTCTTTGGATATCTGTACATGAACGTGGGCAACAATGCACAGAGTGTGCTGGGAAATTACGTGTATCTCTATGGATCCACTCTGCTCTTGGTCTACACCGGCAAAATGGCTGTGGTCTTGACATGTAAGTAGCTGCTGGATACCTCTTTTATCTCCAAGATACTTATCCTCCCATTGCTTTTTTCCAAGTGGTTCTCGAGTGTTTTCGAGTGCCTCCGACTTGACCACTCCTAGTTTCCATTCAATAGCTTTCGTGGCTAACAAAATTATGCAAAAAATTTGTCGCCAAATTTGGCAGAAAAGACTGCAGCTGCTCTTGTGCAATGCGCATTTATTTTGGCAACTTTACTTTGTCTCCGACTTGCTGCATTCTAAACTGCCAACGGTTTTATTTTTGTCGATTTATTTAATTTTGTAGGAATGCCGATTGGCCAATAATTTTTTTTTTGTCATTTGCACAAAAGCTTTGTGGGTCTTAATTGGCCAAAAGGCAACAAGATTATTAGCTTAGATAGTGGATAATTAGCTGGTATAAATCGAAAGATTAAAGCTTTGCGATTTGAACAACTTTAACGGTTTGGCGAGATTTTTGAGTTAGAAAAAATGATGATAAAACACATGAAGCAGATTAAATTAAAAATTTGCAAAGCGGTTAAGATCTTAATCTCACATTATTTATATACAAAATGGGTATATTAAAAGTGGTTTTGTGAATGAACTAATTAAAATTTAAGTTTTAAAGCGAGGAAGATTAAGGTTAACGATTCAGCGGCTAAGCCATTCGCATCAAAAATATTACCGACTTTATATACGTGAACCTTTTTTTAATTTATATTCTGCCCCTTTCCATCCTAATTTACTTAATCAAACAAAATGATAAGGAACATTAACCTTGCCAACGAGGCCAGTTTAAATTTGCGATAAAAGATCTTAGTCAAGCCACTTTGTCAATTATAATTTCCATGTAAGTTACTGAATATCTCACACCAATTACCCCCGAAAAAATGCGATCCTGAGCAAATAATTAATAAACAGAAGAAATATGGACAAGCGACACAAGCTCGCGATTATTGTATAATAAAACCGGTTGGCCAGCGATTCTCGTAGCATTTTACAATAAATTGCTGCAGACAGGAGATATCGGAGGAGCTGGGGTAGTCGATCTTTACCGGTTTCGGTTTACTGACCTGACCTACATATGTATATAATGAACTCACCTTCGTGCTCACACTTCGCATCGCATCGAAATTAATATTAATCGCATTAATCAATTAATTTTATTTGCAGTTCCGCTGGAAATTGACATGTTGACACGGGAGCACTTCAATCGCTGGTACAAACTGGGCCCCTACTTCCTCTCACTGATCTCCTTCGAAATACCCTTCCAGGTAGGCCTTACTTCAGCCCACAAATAACTATATAAACCGATCAGAATCGAAAGCAGGCATCATTAATCATCATTTAAAACTAAGTTGTCATAAATGGCTGCGGTTTAATGAATTGCGGTTCGGTCATTAGTCAAATTAACGATGTGGAATCGCTGATGTTCGAGTTTGAGTTTCATTTGCGTGACAGAATCGCGTAAGCTACCTGTAATTTTGCAGCGATTGTGTTAAAATTCTAGTTTCCATCTATACAGAACTATTTAATGTTTTCGTGTGCCTAATACAAAGAAATTCTTTTGTTTGTCTTTGAAAATTGAGTTATGAAAGCGAAACATTTCTCTGTAAATTCTGTGAAATTATGAAAGCTCAAATTCCAAAGGCATGGGTAATTTGTTCACTTTCTTTGTTATGAAACTTTCGAATAAACAAAATTTACTGTTGAGTTAATTGAGAAATAAAACTGTTTTATGATACTTCTATAAATTCTAGATAGGGTAGTGAGATCAAAATAACTATGAACTGTCATTAATCAATAGAAATATGATTGAAGCTATTCATATCCAATATAAATACAATTAATAATAATTTAAATAATCACAATGTAAATTCCTTGAAAATTCCATTTATCAAATCCATATCCCGATTTTTTTCCTGAGTTCTCATACTAACTTTCTAATTTGATTCCCCTCATATTATAGAGCCTCTGTACCGCCATGTACATCATCATAAGCGTACATCTAACTGGCAATGATGCTGTGGAATCATTCCGGATCTACTACTTTATGTTGCTCGGGATAATGGCCTCATTAAGTGCCCAGGCCTGGGGCTTTTTCGTGGGAGCCACGCTGCCAACTAAGGTGGGTGTTACACTCTATTATTAAATTTCCGAAATAAATAAATAATGATCATTCTACCTTAGCTTGCCGTATTTCTCGGACCCATTCTGGCGGTGATGTTCTCCGTTTTTGGATTCTGCACACGCTATATTGACATCACGCCCCTTTTCCGATGGATGTGGCACTTGAGCTATTTCCGAGCTGGGTTCCATGGGGCGTTGAATGCCATCTACGGGATGGATCGACCTTTTCTGGAATGTCCGGAGACTGCGATGTACTGCCACTTCCGCAGTCCAAAGGTGTTCCTCAAGTACATGATGATATCGGATGTGCACATGTCCGACTGTCTGATCCTCATGGGAACCGTGATTGCAGTCATGCACGTGCTGACCCTCCTAACTCTTTGGCACAAGCTTAACAGACGATAGGATGTCTGTGATCTTGTTCTCAAGGCTAAGCCCCAGTTTTAATCCTACTGTACATAGTCGGGTGTCTTTAAATCTCTTCTTGTTTTAAGTTCGAAACTGAATTTATAATTTTTCCTTTTTGTGTTTGTTTTAATTGATCGACTAGCTTAATTATTTATTTTATTTTTCTTTGAAATTGTATGCGAGAAGGCTTTAGGGTAGCTTATTCCAGTTTAAGTGCTGATATACCAAAAAAAAAAGGAAGATCAATCATAACACAATTTAAATACCCCACTTTCCATCTTGCCCTGTAAACTTCATCAACTGAGCTGGGTTTCCCGCAAGGAATTCAAGCTATGCCAAATCTTGAATATTCATCTACATTATACATTAGGTTCGCAACAAAGATTCATTTGTGATCAACATTTTGTTTTGTCTCTTTAGTGCATAGTTTTAATCTTATTCCTAAGTTCGAATTATTTGTATATGGCATATGTATGTTTAGTTTTTGTAGCAAATGTTTTAGATTATTTTGATTTTGTAATAAATTGTTTGGTAGATTGATCATTTATGCTTACTATTATGATTTGGGGAGATTTATTTTGCAGAAATTTAAAATAAAGGTTCCTAGGTAAATTACATATAGTTCCTGAACTTTTAGTTCAAATATGTTTGAACAAAAATATATAATAAGCTTAAAAGGATGGTACAAAACTACAGCAGGTGGTTCAGGGTAAAAAAATGGATAAAATGTAAATAAAAGTAAAGCATTAATCAAATAAACTTTTTACTTTAGATTTGTCTAACAATTAAATCAATTTTATTTGTTCAAAATGCTGATGCCATACAAATAAGTTAACTACATTGATGGAGGTGATGCAGGCTTAAAAGCCCCGATCATTTAAATGCTTAAAGACTAACACAAAAAATATATAAAAATATATATTGGAATCTTGGAGATATTGCACATTACACCGATTCCCTTACATAGTGGACATGCGTGCATATCGAATGATTTGATCGTGGTTCAGCGGGCTATCAGTGGACAGTTGAACCCTTTGCCACTGCCTGGTTTCGTTGGACTTTCGGATGGCCTCCACCACAGCCTGGACATAGAGGCCATCTTCAAAGGTGGCCGCTGTGGAAACGGGAGCTTTTACCCAGGAGGACTCCTTGCTGCCAAAGGCTTCTTTTAGAGCGCCCACCATCTTGCAGAGCCCTTTGATATAGGGTCGTGGCAACAAAGAGTTATTGGTGGCGAAGTGCAGATCCTGGACGTCCACATAGACAGCTTCCTCTTTGGGTTGTCCCTCCTTGAGGACAAACAGATCGCCGCCACGAACGACCAGGTGACCCTTGCTGCCATAAATGAGTACCTCTTGGGAGAAGGCTTTTGCAGGCACTGTGTGACTATGGAGCGCTACGGTCACCAGAGTTCCGGTGGACAGTTCCATTTGGAAGTTACAGAAGTCGGGAGCCGTGATTTGTCGTATGCCATTGATGGCCGACGTGGTTTTGGTGTAAGATCGCAGGACTCCATGAACCCTGATGGCCTGCTGTTGCAGCAGGAAGGTGACCAAATCCACCACAGAACCCACGAGATTCAGGGCACCTCCGCCCATTTGGGCATCGCACATCCAGTTGTATTTCTCCGGGAAGAGAGTGCCCATCTGAACGCGCACATCCATGAGGACCACGTCGCCAATGGAGCCGATCAGCTCCTCCTGCAGACAGCGACGCATGTGGGTGAAGGCGGGCAGGAACCTCAACGGATGATTGACCAGGGAAATCAGAGTGGGATAATACTGTGAGGCCCGCACCATTTTGAGGGCGTCCTGCTGGTGCAAGCCCGCTGGCTTGTCGCACACCACATGCTTCCCGATGCCCAGAGCCTTCACCGAGATCTCCGCGTGCAGAAAGGGCTGGCACACGATGAACACCAGGTCCACGTCCTTGCGCAGCAGGACATCATCGATGACGTTCGTATGGAACTGCACATTCTGCGTGGCCGCCGTCTCCTTGGCCTCCTTTAGGGTCCTGCCCCAAATGGCCCGCACTTCGAATCCCTTTTCTCGCAGCAGCGGCACCAGAACATTGGCTATCTCTCCGGTCCCGAACACTCCTACGCCCGGCATTGCTTTTCGAATTTATCAAATTAATTAATAATATTAATGGTAACTTCTAAAATTTAAGCCAAAATGTTTTTATTTGGTGGCCGACCAGGGCTGCCACATCGATCAAACTATGGGCGTTAACAGCTGGCTGGAGGTGGGAGTTATTCACCGATATGTATACTTGTTCTTATAGCCATAATATATATAATGTATATATATCTTACAAAAATACTTGGACTAAATATCACGTACATAAAAGTAAGAAATAATGTTAAGGAAAATTAATATAACTTAATTCACTTGGTATTTTATAAATTGATGTGACTGAGTGGCAACATTGCTCAAAAAGAGTTAGCCATTTGGTAAAAAAGTAAGTATTGGTTAACGCCAATATTTACCCGCAAAAAATTTAAAAAACTATGACTGCTAAAAATATTCTTTCAGAATACAAAAAAAATAAAAAACAAAGCAATCGAAAATCGAGTTCGAACTATCCAAATTCAGTTTCGATTCAAAATCAAAGACGAACACAAATTCAATGATTTCGATTGCTCAGTGGCTGACCTCTTTGTCAGCTGGATTCTTAGCCACCTCGCAGGCGATTCGTTATTTTAAGACTGCAAACGAAAAGGAATCGCCGGCCAGGATGTCAAATCAGCGGGAAACGGCGGCAATAGATGTATCAGCCGCGGAGGAACCGAAGATCCTGGGATCCGAACAGATCAGCAGTCTCCTACAGCACATTTTCAGCAGTGAGCGGAAGTCCTCCCCCGTTTATATAGATGCAATGCACAATCGCAGTGCCCGCAAACAGGAGTATTCATTGGGTTCCGAATCCCTTGATCGAATGTTGGAGGACATCATGGACCCCGTGGGAAATGGGAACAGCAGGTCCTTGGCCATGGAGCCTGCCGTTGAAGTATAAGCTATTCTTTTGAGCCGATTAAATTCAAGTTACATTTGTCCCATTAAATTGTTGCGCTTTTATAAGAAGACAAATTATTACACTTTGTAGTCAACAAATGATTATTTATATTTTTATCTCAAATTAAAATTAAGCACTCTTAATCTTGTAAATTTAAAAGTAAATGTAAATGTTTTCGGCTTAACTGAATTATTAAAATGATTTTGGCATTGTTAAAAAATGGGCGTACATCCGATCTAGGATAACAGCTTAACAAATCATTCTAAATTAAGTGTAATATGACTTTTAAAGACCTGACTACTGTCCACTCAATTAACTAAGCCGGATTCCGTTGGGCTCCATTTCGAGTGCGGTCTACACCAGTTATCCATCTCACTGTGCCCTTTCACCCCGCCTCACCCGCCTTTACCCCCTTTTCGGTCCTTTGAGCCATGTGTGGTATTGCAGCTGTCAAAGCAGCCGGCATGCGGAAAATGATTCTGCAGCTTATTACAAGCTGGCAACTGCGAATGCAAACGCTCAGTGGAGTGAAGGACTTACTGGCGACCGGGCTTATGGTACACTTGAAAACAAAGTTTTGGTATAAAGTTAAAAAAGCTATCAAATCATCAGCTAGAATAACTTGATTTTAGAAATTGTAGTTTTTAACAATAGAATTTTTAATAGAAAAACCAAGATTGATTTTTTAAAAGTATGCAATAAATTTTTTTATTTAGGATTGTGAATGGTAGAAACAGAAGTACAATGTACAATTTAGTTCAGATAGAAAGAGTACCATCCTCGTCAGAACTTTAAACTAGATTTTTATGCTGAGTGTACACCAACACCACCCATTTCTGCGGGTTGTTGTGTGTTTGTGTTTGTCTGGGCGAAGGATGTGGGCGGACATAATGCAAGCATTGGCAAGCCATGGCAAACAAATGTCACAGTCGAAGCATTGCCCTGTCATATGGTAACCCAATTAGTGTAATTTGGTTTAAGGCAGCTGCCGCCTGTCTGCCATCTCCCCACACTCCCCGCATCCCACATGCATGTGTGTGAGCCCCATTCTTGGGCTTTAATTAAACCACAAAGTGCACAGCAGCAGATGGCAAACAATCAACTTTAAGGCAAACCCAGCGGCTCAAGCAAACAGCTAATGAATGTTGCTCTTTGTGACCTCAGGGCATATAGCCACTAAGTTATGGCGCCATCAAAGGTGCAATCGAAGGGGGTTTCCCTTAAATGGGATGTCGGGGATTGGAGGGCAAACTCCCTGCAGCGAAGAACTGGATATTGAGACAGCAATTGGGTTAGTTACAATAGGGGATAGGTTGCCTGGGAGAACCATTTAATATGGGTTTTCAGTACAAAATCTATTAATGCTAGATATCCGTTTAAAATTTAACCAAACGATAAACACTAGATTTTACAAGCCCCAAACCAAAATTCAATTTTCAGAAGTTGGCATACAAATTCCTTAAGAGCCAAACTCAATCATTAAAATCTCCAAAGTGGATAAATAAAACCTAATTAAATTGATTTTCATTTTGCAAAGACACGCTGGTTTCAAGTTTCTCCAGCAGCAAGATAAGAATAAATGATTTTAAGTAGCTGCCGCAAACTAGTTTTCACTAACCCAATTAAAATGTATCAGAAACAACACCCAAATGACCAAAAGCTCCACAGACACAGCTCCTAATTGAATTCTGAATGTTAATGGCAATATTGATTACACTTGCTGATCCCGGATTAGTTTATCTCCGACTTTGCCAGACCGCACGACTCTTGAGGGAAGCAGTAACCTTTCTGCAAACCAGACATTAATCACATTTAAGCCAGATTAATACTAAATGCAGGGTCTGGACGAGACCGAAAATGTCTGCAATTGGAGGCAGGACAACTAAACATTTAATAAGCCAAACAAGCGGACGTCGACGCAGTTGTACGTGACCTCATCTTGAGGTCTGGAGCACCAAGACAGGATGAGTCTGGAACTGAGACTGAGACTGGGACTCGGGGCTTGGGACTCGAATGAATCAGACCGCACATAGATCTCTGTCAGAGGCATTAGCATTAGCAGCGAAACAGGACCAGCGGAGCAGCCAAAGATAGTTCATCAAAACTGACAAGCCCATTTCGCTGTTGGGAGTCGCAGCCCGCTTTCTCTTCTTGGCTCGTCTTTTACACTGCCCAAAAAAAAGTTAAGATAATATGTACAAATTTCATATACCTATGCTGAGCCTTTTTCAAGCCCAGAAAAAAAATGGAAAATGTCTCTGACAGGCATCTTTTAGGACGTTTTAGTTTGCAACCGTTTGGTATGAATTGTATTTTGCGATTAAATGTATTATATTAAACTATTTAAAAAGAAATAACAACTGCACTAATTTATATATTTTTATTTATTTCAAAAGGGTGACCTACAATTGGACTTCTGGAGGTCATAACTTTACCAAATTTAATCCGATTTCAAAGTGACATACCTCCTAAGACTTGTGGTTTGATTCTCTAAAAATCTGCATTCAAAATTTTCATTTTAGCGTTAGTCAAATTTTTGACCCATTTTCATGTTAGTTTTTTCTAAGTTTCCGACGACTTGCAAAAGGGTGACCTACAATTGGACTTCTGGAGCTCATAACTTTTCCAAATTTAATCCGATTTCAAAGTGACATACCTCCTAAGACTTGTGTTTTGATTCTCTAAAAATCTGCATTCAAAATTTTCATTTTAGCGTTAGTCAAATTTTTGACCCATTTTTATGTTAGTTATTTCTAAGTTTCCGACGGCTTGCAAAAGGGTGACTTAAAATTGGACTTCTAGAGTTCTTAACTTTACCAAATTTAATCCGATTTCAAAGTGACATACCTCCTAAGACTTGTGGTTTGATTCTCTAAAAATCTGCATTCAAAATTTTCATTTTAGCGTTAGTCAAATTTTTGACCCAGTTTCATGTTAGTTATTTCTATGTTTCCGACAAGTTGTAAAAGGGTGACCTACAATTGGACTTCTGGAGCTCATAACTTTTCCAAATTTAATCCGATTTCAAAGTGACATACCTCCTAAGACTTGTGGTTTGATTCTCTAAAAATCTGCATTCAAAATTTTCATTTTAGCGTTAGTCAAATTTTTGACCCATTTTCATGTTAGTTATTTCTAAGTTTCCGACAAGTTGTAAGAGGGTGACCTATAATTGGACTTCTGGAGCTCATAACTTTTCCAAATTTAATCCGATTTCAAAGTGACATACCTCCTAAGACTTGTGATTTGATTCTCTAAAAATCTGCATTCAAAATTTTCATTTTAGCGTTAGTCAAATTTTTGACCCATTTTCATGTTAGTTATTTCTAAGTTTCCGACGGCTTGCAAAAGGGTGACTTAAAATTGGACTTCTAGAGTTCTTAACTTTACCAAATTTAATCCGATTTCAAAGTGACATACCTCCTAAGACTTGTGGTTTGATTCTCTAAAAATCTGCATTCAAAATTTTCATTTTAGCGTTAGTCAAATTTTTGACCCAGTTTCATGTTAGTTATTTCTATGTTTCCGACAAGTTGTAAGAGGGTGACCTATAATTGGACTTCTGGAGCTCATAACTTTTCCAAATTTAATCCGATTTCAAAGTGACATACCTCCTAAGACTTGTGATTTGATTCTCTAAAAATCTGCATTCAAAATTTTCATTTTAGCGTTAGTCAAATTTTTCACCCATTTTCATGTTAGTTATTTCTAAGTTTCCGACGGCTTGCAAAAGGGTGACTTAAAATTGGACTTCTAGAGTTCATAACTTTACCAAATTTAATCCGATTTCAAAGTGACATACCTCCTAAGACTTGTGGTTTGATTCTCTAAAAATCTGTATTCAAAATTTTCATTTTAGCGTTAGTCAAATTTTTGACCCATTTTCATGTTAGTTTTTTCTAGGTTTCAACACATTTTTCCAAGTGCAGATGAGCTGGAAGCAAACTTTGGATATCCAGGACATATACAAAACTGCAGGGAAACCAGCCAGCTCATTCTCCATCCACTTCAGCCAGAGAACCACAGCCAACAGATGAGAAATATTCATCAGCATTTACGTCACGCAGCGCGCAAAAGTCGCTGGGGAAAGCGGCGGAGAAATGGAGAAAATGAGAAAGGAGAAAGCAGCAGGACGAGAGAGAGTGTACGAGAACCTGGCTCTGGATGTCAGTAGATTTATGTTGACATTTCAATGACAGTTGTGAAAATGCTTCCATTTTATGTGTGCGTTTCCGTGGCTGTTGCCCGTCTGTCGCCTCTTTCATCTTAAATTTGCGCAAATTGGTTTATCGCAGCAGCTTAAATTATTTCCAATCACGTATCACTCACGAATTGGGGAAAGTATATGTCGCGGCAGTCACGCGGATGTCACGTTTCTGGCAGGAAAATCACAATGCCATTCATCAGCCCAATGGGAAATTGTCATGGAGTAGTTTAAGAAGTTGGAGAAATGTATTTTAAGGGAGTTCAGTGCAGTTTCGAATGCCTTTAATAAACTATTTATTTAAAAGGGTATGAGACATCTTACAAATTCATATAGTCAAACTGAACTAAACGAACCAAGTTAGGAAACTGATGATGGTCATTTGAAAATCCATGCTGTAGTTAACCTTAAAGAGTCCGCAAAGCTGAAACTGAAAATTGTGGTGACTGCGCAGCTATGCGAAAATATTCAACTGTTGGAAAAAGTATACAGATATTTACTATAAGAAAATTACCATATTTCATATTCTTTTACTCTTTTCCAGGTCAACATACCTTTGAAGATCAGACATCGAACTTCTTGCTGGGCAGCAACATTAATCAAAGATAATAATATTAAAAAAATTAACTTAAATTGCTAGAAGAGCAAGATGGTATAAACTCGTCACTTATTTTAAATTGACACATTGCACAGGGCCCGACTAGCTAAAGTATTCTGCCGGCAGTAAAAATACAAATCGTTTGCGCTCCAGCCATCAATTTTTATTAACTTGATTAAGTGCTTTATGGCAGACATTGGGGATTTCACGTTATGCAACAAGTTATTAGCAACGAAATGGAAATGCCAAGGGGGCGGGGGAAAAGGGCCCTCAACCAACCCAGATATATACATATATATATACATATATATATATAACCAAGGGGATCCTGTGACAGCAGCTGGCAAGTCGCCTCTTCTACAGCTGGTGTCAAGGAATAATATTTGCATTGTTGTAGCTGAAAAGGGGATGACTTAAGTGGGCCTGGGGTGGATTGGGTGGGTGGAAAGGCTTCAAGGAGTGGGTGGCCGAGGTCCCCGATGTTCAGCATTTCAATAAGCTAAAGCTCAGCCTTGGATGAGGATAAGGACGAGGGGTGAGTGGTGAGGGGCACAGGCAGTACTCTGCTGACGGGGGAATTTCATTAAGCAAATAACACGAAGTTATGAAGACGTTACCTTAACAGTTAACTGCAGGGAAATTTCTTCGAGACTTTAAGCTATTTTTGACTGGAATAGCAGTTTATAATTATTTTCTTAAATTATTTCTTATGAAGGGTTTTTCTTGTAATAAATAAGAGCATTCATTAAACTTAAATATTTAATTAAATATATTACATTTGAATTCGTATTTTTGTATCTCAGTAAATAAGGAATTTTTAATATAATTATAATACTCTTTTCTCAGCCGTTTTGAGGTACCAAAACCTTTTTTTGGTTAGAAATAATGTATTTATTTTTTATCTCTTGTAAAAATGCACTTCTAATAAAAACCCCCGGCAATCCTATAAGATTTAAATCCCCTCCAACAAGGCAAATTTGATTACATTTTGTAAAACAATTTTCCTGCAGACAGATCCATTAAATAATTAAGAGAGAGTAGAAGAGGAAGTGTACGGAAACCAATATTTATGCCAAAATACAGTGTCTTCTCCTGGCAACTATAAAATTCCATTTACACAGAGACACACAAACATATCAAAACAAGAAATTTCGCAGTCGAATGAATTCCGGATTGTCTGGGGGAATTCCATTAGCAGGGATCTCGTCCTGCAAATGAAGTTGCCCTGAACAAACCCCACAATTGCACACAAAAACACGCATTTGCATTTGCAGGCGAGTGTATATATAAATAAAGCTGAACATAAAGCTGGTCACTTGCCTTAATTAAGCTTGAAGGTGGGATCCCTTTTGTGGAGCTGAATGAAGAGTCAGAATGCAATGCACTAATTGAAACATATGTATATGAAAGGATCCACTCGAACACAGATATGGTCAACAGGATAGGAAAAAACAAACTATTAACAAACATTTTGTAAAGTTAATTTAAAAATATAAATTACTGTTGGTACATTTTATTCAAAATGATTTTTATGCTATTTAATAAACTTTAATCATAAACCTTGAAGAATTTGGTCTATGAATTCTATTCCATTTTGAATATAAATGTTATAAATTAAAGTCTTATTTAAGTAAGAGGTTGTGTTATTATTACTATTATTTCGACCGCGTCTGTAAGTCCTTGTTTGTGTTTGCACGCACATATACTTGACTAAATGTCAGACAGGACTGCCATATAAAATGTGATTCAGAAATGAAGATTCATGTTGTTTTCCTCTCCCTTTCTCGACTCCTGCTGGACATAAATCAATGTATCCTGACACAAGCTGAACATCCTGACATTCGACTGTGGAAATGCATTTCCCCCCCGCTTTCCCAACATTTTCCATAAGGCAATTTGGCAAGCTCGTTAAATGATTTCAGCAGGCTCGACTGAACAATTGTGAGTTTTGCATTTAAAGTGCTTCATTGCCTTTGCCAATATGACATGGTAATATTGTGTGTGCACAAGTTAAAACTCACTTAATTATCCCAATGACGCTGCGCAAATTGCAATTACGTTTGGCACTCACCTGTTAACAATTAGTCAGCATCGGGACAACACTAAGTTGGCCATTGTATTTTAATTATAATATTTATGAAAATGGGTTTAAATATTCCATGTGTTTAAGCATTTTTTGGGCGCTACGCTTCCATTTCATTTGCTGTTATTAACTTAGCTTGATAAAAATATTTTCTATGATTTGTGGCTACAAAAAAACATGTCTTTGAGTTTACTAATGTTTTATTAGTTTTGTTCAATGGTGCACATATTAAAAGGAGGAGGAGGTTCCTTCATGGCCATCAATCAACGTTTTCAGGGTTGGAAAGTGGCTCTTCCTACTGGAAAAATATATTTTCAGGACTAACACACTTAGTCTCAACTAGACTCAGGTCTCTATTTGGATCTCCAGAAGATTGAGAGTGCCAAATTTCCTCGAGACGTTTTTGGTGATTGCGCTGCCAATCGAGGACTTTTCTGCGGTTCACTGACGTCAGACGCAGTTGCTCGCGAATGGAAACATTCGGCAGTGGTTGACTCAGATCGGGAAAATCTAGAAAACCAGAGCTATAAGATGGTTCATACAGTCCGCTGTTATTTTGCTCCTGTAAAAAAGCCACAGTTAAAAAATAAAGCAAAATTTAAAAAAAAAACCGACATTCAAAATACCATGAATACCACATGTTAGAAAGTTTTTTAAAGAGCTCTGAAATTAAATATTTAAAGTATTTGCTCAATTGTTCTGCCTAACAAAAATCATTTTAAGCCACATTTCAGCTTCCTGTTTTGGCAATGAAAAAGTTACAAATGATATATGTGTATACCCATTTGTTTAACCAGAAAAAAACATTATTATTTTAAGCCGCAGAAATTGAAATTTTAATAAGTTATAATTATTGCAGTTAGTAGGAAAATCCGGGAAAAAATAAAACACATTAAATAAATATAATGCATATGCAACTGCACATATTAAGTGAAAAAAATAATTAAAGACAAGGGAATTTGAATACTTAATTACATGTGTATATTCACGTATATATGATTTATGCATTTTATTACAAAGGTTTCTAGAGCAAGCGTTTGTTTAATACAAATATTTCTGATTGCCATCTGAATGGTTTTTAATGTGTAGGCGGGTTCAAAAAATTACAAATTTCATATGGAAAAATATATAATTATACGCACCTTAATGTTCTGTAGGCTGACCGGAATAGAATCGCGCAAAGGTTGGTTTCGAGCATCGTAGTGCTTTTCTATAACCAAGAAATCTTCAAGAAAATGGATATCCACAAAATGCTTCATTTTATTTTGAGATGATTTTGCAGACTGCTTCTCCTTGAATTATATTACAGGCACGTCAAAATACCGGACTGTAAATCCAAAGCCTGCTGAGGGATTTAGATTAATAGGATTGCCAAACTCATGCAAAATGCATGTCCATCAATCCAAAACAAATTAGCAAGGTCCACTCATCCCGAGTGCAACTAAAAGCCTTTTCACCTCCCTAAAATCCTCGCAGCGAGGACCTCGATTATTTATGTACTAAATGCAGATAAAGTTTCGTTTTTAAGGGTTCGGCCCGCACTTTTCTATCCGGGAATCCAAACCCGGACCTTTCTATGCACTTTGCTGGCGGACCGAAAAATAAAATTTATTTACAGTTTCCCCTAGCCGGAGGCTGCGGAAAAACGGAAGCCAGTGGGCGGGGATTTTTCCAAAAGGGGCCGGGTTCGGAAAACTCAGTCACGTTTTGTGCAAAATGGAAATGGTTCGGAATTTACGGCAAAATACTCGCCCAACAAGTACTACAAAAAATGTGAAATGGGCGGGAGCCCTAATCGTAGGAAAAGACTCTTTGCTCTATTATTTTCCAGGCTCTTTTTTTGGGTAGGCCTAATGAAATTTTCGTTTTATGGCAAGTGCAAGCGGGTAAATTGCAGGTGAAAGCTTTTCCTGCCAGCCCGGGAATTTCGTTTCGAAAATCTCATTTTTTGTGGGTCCTTTAATTTGAGTGGTGTCCCGAAATGGTAGGTTCCCTGTTGCCATCATAAATAAACAAAGACTGTAAACCATCCGATATTCGAGCTGACCGAGTTTGTTGATGTTTCGCCTTATTGTTTTTACCTTCTCGAATTTTATTGCCACCTCTGGTCTGTGTCGCTTGCATATTCGTTGCGTAAGTTTATTTGTCTTCAAGAAAAAACACCGGAATATTTCGGAGGTCAGAGATGTCAACATAAATTACGGCCACAGAAAAGGGGTATAAAAACAAAGAATTATTTACCATGGATGCAAGGATGTAAACTTTAATGGTGGGGCCTTTAAATTTGTAAATAAAAATTGTTTGACGAAGTAGCCAATGATCAAGTTGGTTTATATTTAAACTATAATACTTAAAACAATTGGATTTGGTGGTAATAATAATTCTAAAGGGTTTCCCCAAAAAACCATTCTTTCGCAATATCCTCAAATTTGGTTGATCAATTGGAGACATTAAACCTGAGGTATTTTATTTGGGAAATATATACACTTAATAAAGATAATTTGTTTTCAATTCACTTTAAACGTATCCAATACTATTTAATTGGTAAAATGTATATATTTTCAATTGGAAACTAAATCTTCCACCAATTGTTAAATTCTTGTATTTTGAATTAGAAACTAAATCTGCCCCCCATTTGTTATTGCCACGGAATGCTGAGTTTATTTAGTCTGTAGAGCATTTCCGTCTACAAAACTATTTATTTTTAAATGATTTAATATTCTTTGTGTACCTGCTTGAAAAGTTTGGGACCTACAATTCCCACAGTAAAGCCACTGTTCATGGCAACAATGAAAAGTTCAACTAACCATGACTTTGGGGCTGCAAAATGCCCCGGACAAGCTGTACACATTAAGTTTCAACTTTAACACAACACTAACACACTGACACAGGTGTGACCTAAGCATCCGCCCCCCCCCCCCACACACACACACACACACAAACACCCATTACCCCTCACCACTGAACTCTAATGCACACCAAAACATACACCAAACCAGAGCCACCAACAAGTCAACAAAAATTGTTGCTCTCTGCTGGTTTCTATTTTCCGCTTTTGTCGACGCTTTCCAACTTTTGCTGTCACTTCTTGTTTTTTTTTTGGTTGCCAGCATTTTAATTTCATACTTTATGCAGAGAGATTCAAGCTGCTCTATAATGAAGCCAGCTTCTTGCAGCGGCTAAGCTGGAAAATATGACAAAATGTTGAGCCAGCGGCGCATATTTTAGGCCTTTCTCCAGAGCTTAGCAACTACCAGTACCACAAGGACACTTAAAAAAGTCTTAGACTAAATTCAAAATCAGAAAACCATTTTTTTGAAGGAGTCCTTTTCGAAAACATAACTTTTCTAAAAATAGATTTATAAAGAATTGTAAATTTAAGGAATCCGAAAAAATTCATTTTCAAATATTATCTTGAAATTTAATGAACTTATTTATAAGCCTTAAGAATTAAAATTTAAGGAAATGTATGTGATTTCCGAGTGCACTGATATTTGTTCGTTGAGTGTAACACCCATCAAAAACCCCGTTCGCCTCTCCAGAATTTTCCGCGTGCTGACAGCGGAAAATGTCACAAAATGTTGGCGGCGCTGACTTTTCTGCATGAGTCTGCTGTTTTATTTTATTTGAGCCATTTTTGGGAACCAGCTCAGACTATGACTATCGCATTCATATTTTTGGCCTTTTACGACTTTTCATAATCTTTATGGGCGGGTTGCCCGGGGGCGTGGCTCAGCGCTTTTTACAGCTCAAGGAGTTACGACGGTTATGAGTGCAATTTAAATTCAAAAGCCGCTTAAATTTATTTCGAGCTGAAGCTCCTGCACTCACTTAAGTCAATTTTTGTGTAGCAAATTTTACATTTATGACAAGCAATTTAACTTTTGCCTAATTGCGCGACATGCAAAATTGCAAGTTAACTTCTGGGGATTGTCTTCCCCCTTCGTCTTCCAGGATCTGCAGGATGCCCGGAGTGGTGTGGCCTGATGGTTCATTAAATGTAACTTTTGCCTCCGTCGGAAGGCGGCGTGGCAAAGTTTATCCTCCAGCAACAGGATGCGGAGCTGGAGGAACTAGCAGGAGGAGGATCAAGCCCAACTGGGGCTCGAGCAAATAGAATGGCTCATTAGGATAGTGCCAGTGGAACTTATTGGATTAGTTGCGATGACAGCCTGCGGGCTTGAAGAGGATTCAGTCACTCGATGCCATTCGCTGTGCATTTCTCTTGCTATGGCAATATTGGCATATCCTCCGAGATTTCAAAGGATAAAAAAACGGAGATTTTTACATCCTTCAGAAGAGGTAAAAAGGGAGACAAACGACTTTGGTAGTTCAGGAGGTCCTTGGATTAAAACTCACTTTTAAAACCTGTTGCTTAAATTCATTAATAAATGGTTAAATGTTGATGATTAGTCTTGCTATTCAGAAAAAGGGAAAATACATTATAACATTTAAAAAAGTATAAATAATATACTTTATATAATACTTTATAATATAGTATATATTAAAAGTATATAAATAATATACATTATTCTTTAATATAATCTTACTTATGCCTGTGATCAGAAATTATTGGTAAAATAAAGTTGTAATGCCAATAATTGCGAAGTGTAAAGTACAATTTGAAAGCATTGTAAAGATTCCTGAATGCAATTCGCATTTACTCAAACTAAAAAACAATATAAAGCAGACTTAGAAAAATGGGGGCGAATTTATAGAAACACATAACTTCTTTGAGAATAATTTCTTTGTTTTTCTAAAGTTCGCACTTGAACACTTTTGCAACTAAAATTTGCTAACCGCTTTTTCTCAAACAATTTCTACCCTCTCAAACTAACTTATGAACATTTTATGCTGTATAAAAAATGTAAGCTTCTGCAATAAGCTCAAAGTTCGGCTTAAAAGTTGCTGCAACCCAAAAAGCAACTTAAAACTCAGAACTAAGCTAATCTCATTGGTAAGACTTAAGTTTGTCTATCCGCCAATTAACAAAAAGCAATTTCGCATGCAAGTGGAGATGTCAAAGTCTTGGCTGGGAAAATGGGAAAAGATTTTTCCGGCTGCGCCAACAAGCTGCTCTTCAAGTGCCCAAAGTGTTCAAGCGGTTCGACAATTGTCTTAATTTCTCCCCACGGTCTCTTTAGCGCTTCGAAATGCTTGAATTGGGAGAAAAGTGAAGGATAAGCCCGCCCCGAAATGCTGCAGGAAAATCCTTTTTGCTTGGCGTAAGGATTTGCATTACAAACTCCATTTGTAGTTGCATAAACTGATTTATTTAGCGACTTATCTTAAGCACCACTCTCTGTCAATCCCTGCTCGAAACTAAAAGCTTAAAAAACATACAAGAAATTAGTTTAGATTGCTTTGAGTATGCACAAAGGATTCGGAAACACTTTTATCTAAATGGAAAATATAAAAAAAATATGAAATTTCTATTTTCATAGGAAAATAGAAAATTGACAGACAAAACTTTTTTGTTTGGTTGAGCGTAGAATATCCGAAATCACAGGGATTTTGTCAATGGCAAAATTTTCATCCAAACGGATTTTAGTTATTGAAAATTGCAAAATAACATTTTTGTGAAGGGATTTCCTGTTGATTTCAAATTGATTTTTAAACTGAAGAATAGTAAGTTCACTTGCTTTTTTAAAGTTTGTTTACTGCATTGAAGTTCATTAATGATTCATATTTTGATGTGTGTTTATTTTATACAAATTGGTTTAAAGGTGACTTAAAAAAATATATATTTAAAAATAAATATATTTTATCAGTAAATGAAAATACTTACAAGAGCATACTAACTTTAAAAACTTAACATTCGACAACTTTGATGACGGTATTTAAATCTTCGTTAGGTGTGATTATTTTGCCCAGCATTTAAGCCAAATGCAACTAAGCATTTTGGCCAACTTTTCCTGCTGGCGACATTTTCCCAGCCGCAACATGTTAGCCCAAACCGAAGTTTTCCCGAAGTTTGAGTTTGTCTTGGGTCTGGGGCTCAAGTGGCTCGAGGGGCGACCACAGCCCGACTTTGAGCCCACTCTGTGGCCATGTGGCACTTGCTCATCCTGGAAGTCCTCCGATCCGAGGACCGCTGACCTCAGGCCCAAGTGGAGGAGTAATTTAAACGCAGACAGGACAAGACGTTTGCATGAGTTGGCAACTGTAGTTTACCATTTTTATTTGGCTATCATTTGCCTTTATGACTGCTGTGGTAATCGTGCCAAGGATGTCCTCAAATTCCGCCATGATTTGGCCATTTTATCGAGTTCATTTCGAAGTTGTTGAAAAGTTGGTGCAAG